CTGTTTTACTATTGTACATTGTCGAAGTATTTTAAAAACATTTTGAACTAAAATTATTATTGTTTTTTTACTTAACAGTACGAAAATACGATTTATATATGTACATATACATAATTTTATTTTCATAAAATTTTATTTTACTTCATTTTATTTATCTATTTCATTTTATCTATATTTTAAATTTTTTTAATTATTAATTTTTTTTATATATTAATTTTTGTTTATATTAATTATTAAAATTAATTTAATTAAAAATTTTTTTTTTTTAAATAATTTTAAATTAATTAAATTTTTTTAATTTCAGTTGACTGGTTTATTTTTTTTTTACTTAATATCACCCTTCATTTTATTTATTTTTATTATCTTATTTGAGTTTATTTGACATATCTAGACATTCAGTTCCCTTTCATTGAACAATGTTGACTCATTTTCTGAGACTATCGCGACTTACTCAGCACCTTATCATTAACCGCTTCACATTATCAGTTAGTCGCTTTAGCATTTCTGCGAAATTCGCTTTATGAGTTATTGCTGACACAAATATATATGTACATATGTACATAAGCCACACCTTCTTTACATTATTACTTACATTGCGTTTCTCAATAGAAGTGTGCTTAGATTCACTACTTCAGAAGTCTAACAATTAATGCTTAAATTCGTACATAACCAGCGCCGTTGGCTGACAAAGCCGTGAGTGTAGCAAGAAAATCTATAAATATATATTAATTTATGCTGGCGTCATCATCGCTGCTGAAGCCCTAGCTGGTTTTCAAAACGCTTAGCGATCGCTTGCTCATACTATGAGCGTAAGTTAATTTGAATACACACTCACACACACATACTCATACTCACGCAAGCATTTGCTTGGCCGCGCTGACTTTGGCTGCTTGACCGACTGGCAGGCACGGAGTCACAACGCTTTGAATGAGTGTACAATATGCGCTCATTCTTTATTGTTTATAATTTCTTTATTTCGCGAAATGCACACGCCATATCATACACGTACAAAATCAACTTTATGCATATACGATCTCCATTTGCCAATTTTGTGCGCTTGTGTGTGTGTGTTTGTTCTGTTTACTATTTATAAATTGCTGAGTCACTCGGCTCTCTGCACAGCCGAGCGGCGCGTTCACCGCACAGTAATCACAGCGTTGCAGCGTTGACGTACTACGAGCGCATTGATTGCCATATAAAGAGTAGCGAAAGCCAAAAAGACAAAAAAAATTAAAAAATAAAAATGCGAAAATCAGCACAACAAAAGAAATTGCCAACCAAGAATGGAAAATAGGTGGACCGCAGCATGTGCGATCGGTCCCAGTAGTCCCCTGTGATCGTATTACGAGGCGCGTCTTATCAGCGTGCACTCTTCGCTCGCCTACCATATACGGTATATTCGACAATTCTCAATTAATTAGTGCTTTGATTGCTTGTGCTTCATATGTGCTTTGTTTTCTTTGCATTCGTCATCGGCGTGTGTTAATTGCAAAATCAAAGTATTAAATGCGTAAATTTAAAATGTTATTGCCGTCTCAATTATTATGACTTTTTAGGCTCAAAATAGTTATGACGGAATGCGAAATTCCGCTCGTGTTAGTCTTATCTAGCGCCTGCAATTATCACAATTTATTTGCCATAATAAAGCTATACCCCTCACATATAAAAAGCTTCCATACAAGAACTTGATTTTCTCATATTAGTTTGTATGGCAGCTATGTGCTATAGTGGTCCGATATCGACGGTTCCGATAAATGAGCAGCTTCTTGAAGATATACCACATACCATTACTTGTATAAGCTTTTGATCTAAAATTCTTTGCATTTTTACGCAATTTCCAAGCAAGTGGCAACCCTTATAATGCATTAATGAGGACATTCTAAGTGTTAAGTTTGTTCAGATTTTCATTAGACCTAGTACATTTGTAGATATGTATGAAGTAATAAATATATTTTATACCGATTTTTTGCGTTAAGCTTATCATCTGACTTGTACTTTCTCCATATATTAATAGTTTCGTGTCTAGTTTGCCACGTGACACAGTGCTGCTGACAATGTGTATATTATTTTTTCAATTAGTAATTGGTTTTAGGTACTCTCAAATGTTTTAAGCGTATGTTTTGTGTAAAATACATATTTGTGGTCGAAGTTGAAATAAATATTATTTCTATGACGTAAACCACAACAACATATATCTGATCAAATTTAACCCGGACTTTCCATACAACTCACATACGTTACACCATACAATACACAAAAAGCAAATGTTTCACGTATTCTAATACAAAGTTTTATTATCGCCTTCAAAAAAGGCTCCGTTTGAGCTAATACAAGCATATCAACAGTTAATCGAATTTTCCACACACCTATTTTAAGTCTCGGCTGGGATGGTCTTCGGTTCTCTCAACGAATTTGGGTTTTTTCGGTTTCGGCCTTTTCTCGAAGCACCATCCGCTTGATTGTTGGACAGTTTCGACATCATATTCATAAATTCACGTTTCGTCACAGGTAATGATGCGCTTGAAATGTAGGTTTGTCAGCTATGTTGTCAAGCATCTCTTTTACGTTCTCTACTCTGTCGCATTTGTAAAAGATTCAGGTCTTTTTGTACTAGCCTAGCATTGCCACACTCCATACCCAAAACATTATTTAAAAAGTGCTGAGCCAATCCAAAAGAGATGTTCAGATCCTTTGCTATCTCTCTGATGCCAACACGACGATTTTCCATCTTTAGCTTTTTCGATGTTATTGCACTAGGCGAATTTTTATTGCGGCTAAAGCCAAGGCACTAGACATTTCTGTAAACAATAGGGCTTGCTACATCTTTCATTATGAACTGAACAGTTGCTCTGCTGCCGCGCATCCAAATGTTGACATATTTTTACAGACCACAAAAAAGTTTTTGGTATTGCTTAAGTGCTCTATTTTCTTTTATATGGCTAAAGGAGAATCGCTATCGGTTGAAGAGAAAGCAATAATATTAGCTTATGAAGAAAAAAGGTTGGCGGAAGTTGAAATGTTATACATATACAAATTCTGGCGTAATAAGTCGGAGTACGGTCGAAAAACCGAAAGCGGTAACAATAAAGTAATTTCCGTTGTCAACAAGAGAGATATTTTAAAAAAGCATCCAATGCTGATGTTAAAGTAAGCTTATCTACTGCTTAAAAGATGCTAATGAATGTTCCATATTTGAAACTATTAAAACTAACAAAAAATCAACCACTTAAGGTTCCACAAAAAGAAACACGATTACATTTTGCACCGGAGCACATAGCCTTAAAGTCTAATTTGGCGCTATGTATGTGTGGATACAATTATTATTTCCATATACCTACAGTGCTGCGAGCGGTATGATGGTCTGGGGAGCCATCTTCTAATATGGCACGTGCGAACTACAATTTTTGAATATTAATATAAATGCAAATGCAATAAAAACGTACTGGAAACTGAATTTTTACATTCCAAAATTGGTTTGTGGTCCGAGTGTTTTAGTCTAGGATTGAAGTGCAAAATGTCGATTTAATGCAGTGAGCGCCTTACTCACCTGGCACCGATGTAATTAAAAATATGGGGAAACGGCTGGCTCACAAAGCTTTTCAAAATTGCATATCGCTTATTTATTTAGTTATAGCAAACGTTATCAATTTACCTCAATACAGGTGACGAAACGAAAGCCTTTTATTGTTAGCACAATTTGCTTGTCAGCACACTTTTGGTAAGGCATGTAAACAGAAAATGACAGTAATTATTATCAGTATTTATTGGGAGAAAACGCCATGTAGTTAAAATGTAGACTTCGCTGACGTCTACATTGTGAACCTTTTGCGAATTATTGCACAAATAAAGGATCTAATAAGAAATAATACAAGTATACCTATTTATTGCTTCGGCGTTCGAAGGTAGTAAAATGTATTTTTTATTGATAAATAAACAAATATAAAAAGTTACTAATTTTTGCCATAATCTTATGAATGTATATAATTTTTTGAACATATATGTTTGTACATATGTATACAGTTAAAATATCATACATTCATACATTTACATATGTTAATTTCTTCATTTTGTTTATTTACTTAAAAAATTTTTGGCTGTGTTCGTCAGCTGAGCGCATACAACGTGACACGTGCACAGCAGCGGTTTATTAATCAAACAGCTGTGTGTTTTGTACCTTTTGAAATGAGCGGTTGTTCGCTTGTGCTTTTTCAAGTTTTGCGGTCGGGTAAAACACAATATGAATTAATTTAGGTTTGCTGGTAAAAAAATTTCCTTTAAAATATGTAATGTGTGGAATTCACAATTATGTGTTAATCGAAGGTTGATTATAGATTTCCGCAGTCGGAAATATTTTTGCCAGTTGAGAAAAAATATCAATATTTTATTTGTAAAAGCTGGAAAATTCTCTGAATTTAAATATTACGGCTTTAGGAAACACACAGCTATCATGCCTTTTCGATATACTGGTAAATGTAAAATAACGGTAAAAGCTGTCATGACTTGGAAGACGGAAAAGCTTTTGCGTAGGCGAAAAAGCTTGAAGCTCTTTCAATAAATATTCGATGCATCAATGATATAACTTTTTTAGGATGAATTTGAAATATTTGTTATAATTCTGACAAAACCATATCGAAAATTTTTTTTAATCAGCCAAACCGAATTTTCCAAATACTGTAATTTGTTTTAAAAAAGTAGTTTGAATTAGGGTTAAATTAGCTGTTAAATTACTCATCGGTACCCTCGTGAACAGAAATAATAACACCGACACCAAAATCTTTATAATTTTTTGAACTACTATTTTAAAGAACTACTCCAGACCTTACACTTAGTGGAGAATACTGACCTGGTTGACCCAGAAAAAATGTTACTTGTTGTTCTTAGAGAATATAGCAACTATTTACACCCGCTCCGTTATCTTTAATAAAGTTATTTTTGTTTTATCAGATCACATGAATATTTTGCTCGTCATTCTATAACACTTGTGCCTTATCTAATTTCAGGTTTCTGTCGTATGGTTGACGTAAACAACAGCACAAGCAATAACTCGTCGGTACTCGGCGGCAGCGCTGGTCTCTCGAACGGTCATGCAAGTGCCAGCGGCGGTAGTGCTACAGGTTCGTCAGCTAACGGGCTCGCAATGAACGGTGCTGGCGCTACGAATAGTGCGCTCGCTGGCGGTATGACAGCGGATCTCTTGGGTTCGGGTGCGGGTGGCACGAGCGCTGGCGGTGATCGTTTGGACGCCTCTAGCGACAGTGCAGTCAGTTCGATGGGCTCGGAGCGTGTACCGTCACTCTCGGATGGTGAGTGGGGTGAAGGTAGCGATTCGGCGCAAGATTATCATCAAGGCAAATACGGTAGACCGTATGACTATAGTTACAATAATAATAATAATCGCATGAACGATGGCACACGACAACCGCCTGTTGCACAGAAGAAACATCAAATGTTCGGCAAGCGTTTTCTCAATGAACAACCCGGTTTGGGCGCGACGGGTACTACCGCCGACAATGGTAGTAATGTCGGTGTTGTGCCACCAACCGGCACAAATTCACTACTAAATATTGGTCCCGCACAGTCGATTAAATATGAGTATGAAGCGTATCCAACTGTGCCGGGTCTACAACCGGGCGGGGCTGGCGGTACACTGAATGCCGAAGGTGCTATGGGACCAGTGCTAAGTAACAAAGAACAACAGGCATACGATTTGAAGTATGGCCCCGCCGTTGCAGGTGCAATTGGTGGTTATTCACTTGATTTTGCACAACGTCCGCCGCGCACACCACACGAGGTCGTGCAGCACAATCACACGTACACGCTGCCACAGGGCACCGGCTCCATGCCTCGGCCACAGGCACGTGACAAGAAACTCTCCATCTCATCGTCGAAGTCCTCTAAATCCCTTAATGGTGAAGAGGAGCATTTGACACGTGACGAGAAGCGCGCCCGCGCTATGAATGTCCCCATACCAGTGAGCGATATCATCAACTTGCCCATGGATGAGTTCAATGAACGTCTCTCCAAGTACGACTTGACCGAGAATCAGCTGTCACTTATACGCGACATACGTCGGCGCGGCAAGAACAAGGTCGCCGCACAGAATTGTCGCAAACGTAAGCTCGATCAAATACTCTCGCTGGAAGATGAGGTGAAAGAGGTGCGTCGCCGTAAGGAACAGTTGTTTTCGGATCGCGACAGTCTAACTTTGGAGCGTAAGCGTATATCGAACAAGTTCGCGGCGCTGCACAGACACATATTCCAAGTGAGTAGAACTTTTGGTGAATTATTAAAAATAAAATCCTTTTTCGGAAAGTGTGTTTTGAAGTAAAATACATATGTAAATATTAATATGGTAAATTCATAAAACCTAACCTCAATTTTATGAAATGTTACATAATCACATGCTTTTTAAAATATTTGCGTTCTTTAAGTTTAAAATATATGATAACTAATATTTAATTAAAAATTATTGCACAAATAATAAAAAAAATTATTTTAAACAAAAAAAAATATTTACATACGTATATAAAAAATTTAAAAAAATAAAATTAATCAAAGAAATTAAAAAAAAAATAAAAACAAAATTAAAGAAATTAAGAAAATTAAAAAAAAAATGTCAAAATCAATTAACACGTGACATTCCATTTTACTTCAGTATTTGCGCGATCCCGAAGGCAATCCTTGCTCAACGTCCGAATACACGCTGCAACAGGCCGCCGATGGGTCCATTTACTTGCTGCGCAAATCTGATGCCACAAACGGCAGTGGCAACATCAGCAATAGCAGTAGCACAAGCAGCAGCAGCAGTAGTAGTAGTAGTGTGAGTACGCTACTGAGTCACAATGGCATGTCGCCACAGCAGCAGCAGCAGCAGCAACAACCACAGCAGCATTCAATGCTGGGCGCTGCGACGCATTTGCAACAGCAGCAACAATCGCTGCATCATCATCATCATCATACGCAAGCGCAACAACAGCAACAGCAGCTGTCACATATGCACACACAGCAAGTGCAACAGGCGCAGCAGCAACAACAACAACAGCGGCAACATTCTGCGCATGCGCAGGCACATCATCACCAGACGCATCAGAAAGATTGAAAATTGCTGTTGCAGCACTATGCGAATTGGTTTAAAATGCAAAAACAACATCATCATCAACAGCAGCAGCAGCAGCAGCAGCAACAACAACAACAACAACAGCGTCATCATTACCGTTATCATCTTTATCATCATCACCATCATCAGCAAAAGCATCAACAACAACAACAGCAGCAGCAGTACGTACAACAAACCGCGCAACAACAACAAAAGTCGTTACAGCCTTTCAAGCAACAACGCGTCTCGCCGCAACCATATGCCACCGAGCTGGAACTTTATTATCAGCATTCAGCCGTGGCAGCGTCAGCAGCAACGACTTCCCAACAACAACAATGCCGATGCGCTCACTGCTATGATTATTATGTTGCGCCACAGCAACAAGACGCTATGGACTTGGAGTGGTTGCATGAAATCGCCACTGTGCCACCAGCTGCAACAGCATCGATTGCCACAAGTTTCTATTTTTATTAAAATTTAATTTAGCGGAAATCCACTAAACTAACTTGCTTCTCCACTTCTTCACTGCTGCTGGCGGTTTGCGTATTTATTGTAGTTGTAATTTTTTTAATTTTGATAGCATCCAAACTCACAGACCCTGTGGCTGTCGGGTCGTGGTCGTAAAAAAAATAAAATACATACATACGTATGTACATATGTATGTATGTAGGTGTTGGTATTTTTAACAACAAAAAATTACCTTTTTTATACATATATAAATATAATAAGAGCAGAAATAATTATTTTGACAATTAAGTTGTCAATTTGTTGCTCATGCTACAGCATGCCTTTTACACTAGAGTTCAGCGAAACTTAAAACAACAATTTTCAAAAATGAATATCACAAACACACTTGTATATCGCGCATATTCACACATATATACAAATCAAAAATCAAAAAATATTAAAAAAAAAAGTACAGAATTTGCTTAAAAAAAATTACTTGAATTAAAAGTTATTAAAAATTGAGCACAAATAATATTAAGTAAGCAGTAACAGAGGTTAATTATGAAGTGAAGTGAGAAATAAACGAAAACGTCATTTTATACACAAAAATTTTTTAAGTTTATTTTTTCTTTTGCTAAATAAGCTCACTATTATGTACTATACTAGATACGGAGTTAAAGGCAAAATGTAAAAAAAAAACACAAAAAAAAAATATATAAAACGCAAAAAATTATAAAAGCGTAAAACTTGTGATAAATTTTAATATAGCAATTAAAGTAGTAATGTATAAAGTATTTCATAAACTCGTTTGCGCTACAAACACACAAAGTTAAGTGTTTTCTTTTTTATATAATTAAATATATATATACATATATTAATAAATAAAAATATTAGTTAATAATTAATTTTTTAATTAATACAAATGTGGTTGTTTACTAATTTGCGCGCTTGTGGACCTTAATTTTTGAAGGTGACAACGCATGCTTTGTTCAAATACAGCAAACATTTTTGTCGACAAAACTTAAATTTTTTTAATTTTTTTATATAGCAAACATTTCTTTAGACAAAATTAAAATTTATTTATTTTTTTGTTTAAATTTTATTTTTCCCACAATAAATTGTTTGCAAGTCCCACCACAAGCCGCTGTTTTGAAATATTTGTGCATTAAATTTCAATAGCTGTTGCGACTACGAACCATCTACCTACCTCCCCAATTAAGAAATAATGATTCTAAACAAATTTTGCTCTTGCATAGTAAACACTTTTCAACCTAACCTCAATTTTTTTTTTTTCTTGAATGATACAATACTTTTTTACAAAATATTTGATTGCTACTTGGTTTGGTTTTGAATAAATGAATTATAAAATTATTTCAGAAATTTTTATAATTATTAGAAAAATCTAAAGAATAGCGTTTATTGCAAATGAAATAAATAAAAAAAATTGGCTAAGAATGTAATTATTTGTAGAATGTTTGCTGAAAGCCCTTTAGAAAACATAATAGCGCAAATTCATTTCATATTTTAAAATCCTTTATGCTTCAACTCATATTTTTGAAATTGCAAACTTCAAAGTTACATTGTGTGAAATAACTGTGAAATTGTGAAATAAACTATCAAGTTCATACCAAAAAAAATTATTATAAATAATAGTTTTAAAATTGTACATTTAATAAATTGGTCCTGAGATTATTGTTTATTCATATTTTGTATTCGCCGCCGACCAATTTTCATTTGTAATGAACGCTTTTAATTTTTTTTAATTAAATACCAGTTTTGCGTTCAAGCAACAACAACAAAGCAACAAAGTATATAATTTGCTCGCTAGACATTTAAGCATAATTATGTGTAAGCATTTATAAAAATGTATTTACAAACAAAAATAAATACATATATATATATAATATATATATATATATATATACGTACTACAATATATATGCATAACTCTATACTAATAGGCATTGCATTGCATAATACACATATATACAATACAATATACATACATATACAAAACTAGAAATGTAAATGGATAACTAGAGGCGCATAGTTAGTGACATTAGAGTTTTCATTTTAAAGATTTCACAAAAAATATATATTATTTTATAAATATGCTTAAATTTATATATATATATATACTGTTATAAAACTTGTAAATACATTTAATGCGTACACTTAATAGAATTACGAACAAATACTAATAATTATATGGAATCCAAATGCGGTCTAAATACATGTACAATACGGTGTCCGTTATTTCCCAAGTTAATTTTTTTGTTTTGCAAACGACCACTTAAGTTTCAGTTTTTGCGCTAAAAAAATTATACAAGGAAACAACGCTTTTTATTTTCAATTTAAACCGTGTCTAAATCAGTTTACCTTTTCCATATATGTACGTATTTTATTTAGGATTTTTTGATCTTTTGCAAAAAATTTTTATCACCAGACCAAATAAATCTAAAACTTAAAAAAAGTGATATTCTAATACAATGCATACATATTTTTTTCCGCTCTACAAGAACACTTTTAATATCTTTTTCATACTAACATTGCTTTAAAATTTCACAGTATTCATATAGTACACCATGTGGTATGAGCAACAGAGAATGTACATACATATAAATCACTTGTATCAATGCTCAGGTCATTTGATGTTTAACCTTTAAAGGAATGATTTTATGGAAAAAATCATTAAGACCTTAATTGTAAAGCAGACATTTTTTTATTAGAATATCAATTTTTCAAAGTTATAAATTTACTTGCTTCATGCTAAATATCCAAAAATCGCATGCTATATACTATGTACATGGAAAAAGAAATATGATTTAGGCGCGATTTAAATTTAAAATAAAAAACCTTTTCGCCTTTGATACTTATTTTTAAAACTGAAATCAACTTGGAAAATGACGGACGCCTTAAAGTACATAGAGGAATGTTTTAATATCAGTCGCAAAGAACTACAATGTTATATAAGAAATTTTTAAATTTGATACACCATGAAAGAGGAACCGCGTCAGTCGAGTCTACGTAACCGGAACGGACCCGGATTTTTATCCGACCAAGGACTGTCACAACAACAGTAACAAACATACATACATTTACGACTAGCTGTGTTTTGCACTTTTTTGAAATTCTATATGTAAATAAATTAAACGAAGAATACTGCATTATAAATTATGTATAAAATAAAAATATGTGAATTATTATTTTTGTAATGTAAATGCGATTTATTTAATATTATCTAAATAAATACATAAATACACAGTTGTATGTAGACTTAAAATAGCCTCACGACTGCTAAGTTGTAGGCCTAGCTTAGAATTCCTGACATTTCAATAACTTTCTTTTTCAATTCTAGCAAGAATTATAATTTTCGTTTAAGTAAATAGAATAAATTGTAATATAAAACAAATTCTAATATAAACTAGTAATATTTTAGCAAAAGCAAATAAATGCCGTATTTTGCACCTTCCAATGCTTTCTAAATGCAAAAGAAAACTAAATGAAAGTCATATATTCAAGCTGTACTTAGAATTTCTCCAATAATTGTTATTAAATTTTGTTTACATATAAATATATTTCATATTAAATGTCCAAAATACAACTATATAAAATAAAATGTAAAATCACAAATGCTAAAAAATGTTAGTACAACAACATACAACAATGCATTGCATGCGCTACTAAGATTTAAGTGAATGTATTAAGGTTTTCAAGCCCTCTTCTAACACATGTAAAACTACATATAAATAATTATAGTTATTTAAACATTTTCTCTGCTCCTTGTGTACGTAAGTACGTGGCTACATACGTAAATAATGTTTTTGGTTTACTTTAACTAATCTTTACTTACTGATATTTTTTTAATACTTATAAATGAAAATGAAATAAAAAATAAAAATAATAGAGAAAAAACTTTGAAAAAAGTTAACTTAAATTGCATTCAGGTGAGAGTTTTTAATAATAGATGTTTTAATGTAATCATAAGTATAATATTTAAAAAACAAAAACAAAAAAATTTAGTGCATAATTAAACTGATTGTGTCGTCTAAACATTGTCGCTTTAAAAGAAAGAAACTACTAAAATAAAAAATATAAAAAAATATGAATACAATTGTCTTTTTTTATTGTTGTTTAATCAAAGTGAACTATTATACAGTAATAATTTATACATATCAATATACTCGAGCCTTGCTGAGAAGACAACTTTGTTAAGGGGTTATATCCACATTTGAATTTAAAAAAATCGATTTTTGCAAATACCATACATACCGTTATTGACAATAAAACAGAATCAAAAGAATGGTTTCGAAATAATTCTATTATTACAATATTATTTGTCCGATAGATTTCCGATACGTTTTGCCTGTAATAGACACCTTTTAATATACAACTTAAAATACTAAATAAAATAAAATAAAAACTTTTTTTCGCAACAAAATTCTAGCTTGTAAGCATTTTTTAGTTATAATAGTCTACTATTTACGAGTTATGGTAAGTAGTGATTGGTTTGGTGGTTTACTTAATTGAAGTTCCTTTAAAAGTTGTTTGCTGATAATTTATTTAAATTTATATTCAGTTAGTTTCGCTATGGAAATGTTTAAAACAAATTTATTAATTATAAAAAATAATTGTTTCCTTCTAAGAACTGAGTTAACACTTTAGATTTTGTGGTATTTCGTTGTGAGTAACTAACTGTACATATGTACATCTAATGTACGTAGATTTGAAAATATTCTATGAAAATTTGAAGTTGTTTCGACAAATAGCTTTGGAGATATCTGTGTATTTGTAAAAAACTGGATACTTAGTGTATTCGGATCCTAAAACTTTAAACTCGTGTATCTCGAAACGTTGTTTTCAGAGTTGGTGAGGGAAATTTTTCTCAATTGGCTTAATCGATCCACTTGAAATTTCGCACGAACTTCCTAGAAGTATTTTTTAGGTAATGATCATAGGAATAAGAATTTTGAATTTCGATTATATAAGCCATTCTGAAATGAAAGTTTTTTGATATAAAACGATTTTTTGGGAAGCCGCCATTTTGTCAAAAAAACAAATTTCGACCTTCGATCATAACCTGTATTCATCTATTGGTATAATATTTTTCGTTTGGTTTTTGGATTTGAGATAGTTTTAAACATAAAAATCTTTCTCACCGCCAAACACCTTTTTTGGAGGTCTTCCAGGAGATTGGTTACGGGAATCAGGGAATCCTAAATTTTTCAAAATGAAACACCGATTAAGTGCTGTAAAAATTCTTCTGTCTTCAAACAAAAAAATGCACCAAAAACGATTTTTTTCTGACTTGCAAGTGCATTTAGTCCTTTCTTTAATATCTGTATATTTTTCCATAGTCCGTATATTTGGAACATAGGACCTCACGCTTTTAATATTACAGGTGACAAAGTTATTTATAACTGTAAATATTTTATGCATGGGATTCTTGGTTCGCGTTTAAGCTAACTTTATTTGCAAAACGAACAGTGCGGATTTAAACCAAAAAAGAACGTTAACTTTAGTCACATCGAAGCTTTAATATTATTAGCAAAGTATTTTTAATCGGCTGCATTGTATGTTTTGTTTACGATTTGCATTGTTTTTTATAGCAACAAAATACATACAGCTCATATAATAAAAACTATTTCTTGCTTGCTGTCGCTGAAAATATATAACAATTAAAATACTAATACGCATTTTAATTTTCCTTTTCATTGTTTTTGTGTGCGATTTTCATTCACGTTTTATTTTCTTTTAAGTGAAATATTTGCAATTTCATGTTAAAATATTTTTCCATTATTGTTTAGTGCAAGTATTTTATGTGAAGCAAAAAATAATATATAATATTCGCGTTTATTATTTCAACAAAGCAAACGTCAAACATAAAGTGCTGTTGGTGTGGGTGAGATATTTATGCGAAGCGGCAAGTAAACTCACAAAAAATTTAGCATATATTTTCTAAAATATAATAATGCCACGCAGTTGAATGATAAACATTTAATTTACTAATTTTTCTTACTTATATTTTATTTAACGAAAAAGTTAAGCTCAAAAACAAAACTAGGAATATATACTTTGTATATATGCAAATATGATTAAGTATTAGGTGCTTTATACCTACGTTTACTCCGTATAAAATATTATAAATAAGCGTGTACCTTCTAACGAAATACGTACTCCTGTTTTTAGTATATTATACGCAAAAATGTAAATAAAATGCACCTTATACAAGAAATTAATAAAGATAAGTAAAAATATTTAAGTTTCTCTTTCCGACTAGGCGATTGGTTTGACTCCTTTCGGTTTAGGTTCTGGTGGATCAATCAAATTGCCATGACGCACAACATCAATATTTCCCAGACGCACCATTTTCTCTTCCCAAAGCGCAATCTCTTTTCTGTATTGTTAAAATATGATAAATAAATAAATATATAATTTTATGAAATAACCTAAAAATATACTCACTTGTACAGTTCCATGTCTTTGCGGGATTCTATTAAGAACACTTCTTTCTCCTTGTCTGAGAGGCGCGACCATTTTTCTGTGCACTTCTGATGCCATTCACGATATGTTTGTTTAGGCGTTTGTGGCGTATTTGTACGTTCTTGTACGAGGAAGCGTAAGAAGGCAGAAGCAGGTTTTTTGGGACGTCCGAGTTCTTTAATACGCTTTCGCATCATTCTGCGGTCTTTAGCGTCTTGTATATCTTGCTTAAGCTGTTTCAGTTCGGTACGTTGTTCATCAGTCATGTTTGCCTCATATTTGGCACGAATTTCCACAAACTGTTGTTGTTCACGCTTGTAGTCGTCCTGCAGGCGTTTTTTCAATGCGGCATCTGCATCATTCCAACGTTTTGATAACACGCGCACTACGTCGGTTGTGCTAAATTTTGGATTTTCCGCAAGTATCTTTGGACGTTGCTCCTGCATGTAGCGAAAATAAGGTGTGAGTGGTTTTCTTGGCCGTGGTGGTAAACCAAGTTTCTCTTCAAGTGTGCGTGCAGATGTTGAGACATTTGTGGATACACTGAAGTTGGCAATGGCCGCTGGCCTGTCGGTAGAGGAGATGGAGATAGGAGCAGTTACGGTGTGTGTGGCAGTGAAAGAATTTGATGATTGTAAATCGTTAAGGTTGTTCGTTTGTCTGTCATTAATGTTGGAAGACTTGGACGGTTGTTTTTTAATCACTTGCCTGCATTTATTGACCAAAGACCCAAAAAAGGTAGACTTCGATAGGAGTGGGGCCGTGAGCAGCATTTTGCCTACAAATAGTATAATAAAGTCAAGATGTTGATTTATGTAGCAACTTCACCTTGTACTTGGAGTTTAATTCAGAATTGATGTAAAAATAATGTGATCAAGCGGTATTTACTAGTATTTACATAAGGAAACGCGCAACGAAATGACAATTGTCACGCAAATGTCAAACACCAATTGCGGCGACAGCGTGGTGACTGCACTTCGATATTTATGTATTTAATTCCACAGCGATTATAAAGGTGCTAGAGTGAATAAATTGGAAAAATTAATTTGTTTAATCGCGACTAATTATCTATTTTTTAGTATATGAGATGTAAATTTTGTATTTGTTATAATTATACCGACACTGAACACACCACCGAATTGTCAATAACATATGCCAACATGAGGTAAACAAATGCCACCAATGGCAATGCACAGCTGATATAACCTTTAAAAGTCGTTTCATGGCTTTTTGTTTAAAATTTGCGCCGGTTTTTAATGGTATTTAAAAAGTTAAATATTATGTCTAACAGCACATCTGCAGCTAGCAGCTCCACATCTACAGTTGCAAAACAAAAACAACAACCGTCGGAAATTAAAGACAAAGTGAGAGTACTATGTCTACACGGTTATCGCCAGAATGGTGATGCACTCAAAAATAAATTGGGTTCTTTTCGGAAATTTGCTGGAAAATATGCTGAGTTTGTTTTTCTCACAGCACCGCATCAAGTAATACTACCCGAAACTGGTGGTGATCAAGCAGCTGAACAGCGCAGTTGGTGGGCAAATAAAGATGATGGTACCTTTAAAGGTACAAATAAAGGCGGACCGGCATTTGGTTTTCAAGAAAGCCTAGGTTTCGTTGAAGAAGCCTGGGATAAACAGGGACCATTTCAAGGTTTATTAGGCTTCTCCCAAGGTGCTTGTTTCGTCGGTTTGCTTTGTGGTTTAGCGAAAAAGAAATGTGAGTATGTTATGCTCAACATTGTTATACAAGTGAATAAAAAATAATAATTACAAACTTTTAGTGACTTCCATACGTCCCGATTTTGCTATATTATCATCCGGATTTCTTTCTGGCAGTTTGGCGCACAAAAGCGCATATGAAGAAATTATTACCATACCTACGCTACATATATACGGACTTAGCGATGATATCATACCAAAAGAGATGAGTCAAGATTTGGCGAGACATTTTAAAAATGCTGAAATATTAGAACATCCAGGCGGGCATTATTTCCCAGCTACTGCGGCGCAAAAGCAAACATATATAAACTTCTTCCAAGATCGACTACAAGAATACTTAGAAAATTTAGAATTGCAGCAAGCAAGCAACGTTACATTTCTTGAAACGGCGGATAAACAGATTGCTGTTGATAGCAGTGACAGTAACGACTCTGACTAGAGAGGCTAGTAAAGTGAGACATCTGCCAATATGTGGTCTTAATTATTTAAGTCAATACAACACATACAAGTGATTTCTTTTCTTTTTTTTTAATAATTAATTCTTATGATTACAATTATGTTAATTAATTAATAAAATTAACCCAATATATAGTAATTCATAAATTTGCTTCACCAACTCCGCAAATCGCTACGCATCTCGTTTACTTGCTTTTATTTTATATTGTATATCGTCGAGATTTTCATAAGGCTTTACAATATAATTTATTATAAAGCGACTTCGCTTTTCATTTAAATTTTTGTTTCTTTTTTGTTTTCTAAACATTAGGTTTCGTTAAATTATTGCAAAAAAGAGTGCTAAGTTGTGTAACTATGTGTGCATATGAAATGTAATTTAGTGTCAGAATGCTTTGTTTTGTTTACGTATTAGAGATGGCTGCGAAATTTGTATAATTTTTATATTACATAATTTTTTATCCGTAGTTGCCTCTCAGTTAAATTTTTATTTCACGCGAATTTGAGCCGTTTACTAGTAGCATTATATGAAGTTTTGTTTTTTTTTTTAAGAATATGTTAAGGTTGAACTTATTTTTTTAACTTTGAATAATTTATAAATTATGTAAGTAAAGGAAACAATGATCAAATTTTTTTCATAACGTAAACAATTTTTTAAATTTTTTTGACACAAATATACGCTATCAACGGTAAAATCATAATTTTAAATTATATATTCATTTGCATATTTTCAATAAAGAATTTAAATTAAATAATTAAATATACCTTGACCCAAATTGTTTGCATTTAGAAGAAAATAATAAGTTCCGAAAAAATTGCAATAATTAAAGTTTGGGAAGTTTTGTTGTCTTGCTTCATAGTAACATCTCTTCAAATTATTTAACATGATAGCATTTAACAAAAACAAGGTGCTTGTTTTTTTTAAGAAAGCATTTAACAAAATTATTTACTTAATGCTGAAGTTGAATATTAGAAGATTTTGTTTATAATTTTAATTGTTGTTGTTTAAAATAAGCATTTCCTGCGTGCCGTTATGTATGTATGTAGTATCAATTAAGACCGGTCTGTTGTTTACCACATCGTTTTTATTGTTGCTGTTGTTGTTGTAGTAGATATCTCCATATTCTGAGTTATTTTATGCAACTTGCTCTTGACCGTTAGCTGCCTCTTGATTCTTCATAACTTCAGGTAGATCTGGTGGTGATGAATATGGCGTTATTTCGAGAGGCTCGAATTCGCCATGTTCGTCTCTGTGATGCATAAATGTAGAAATTTAGTAGGTTCATTCAGAAAAACTTAAAATATTATGTTTTATTAATGCAGGATTCTTTAAAGCCATTCTATTTTATATGAGTGCATATAGGCATACACATATATAGCGTACGAATTACTGTATGAAAGATAGATAAAATTGTTGGCGCGAGCCAAATACACGTCGCGTGGGCATGACAAGTCCATTTTCCAAAAATAAACATATAAAAATATGTATTTGACATAAAATTTTAACCAATACACTGGCGCATGTAAGAAGCTTGGAAATATTTATATTTAAGTACGAACAAGCTACAATTTCAAAATAATAAAACAAATAATGGTCAGTGATTTAGGAATACGGATGTTAATTAAGTGATAAGAACGTCGCTTGAAATAAAAATTATTAAATAAACCATAACACAACTGAGTAATCACACTTTTGAATTAGAACTGAGCTACGATTACCTGCGCTTTATTTGCCTTTACGGAAACACTAACTAACGTAATTACTTGTTGCCTTTGTTGCAAACTCACCTTAATGCTAGTCCTAACTGTGCCGGAGCTTGCGCCTTTGCCGTTGACATCTGTATGCCATAATCCTGCAAGGTGTTCTCGTCCTCCATCACCTCATTATCCTGATTATATAGCTTCTGGTCATGGGGACGCACCTTTAAGATGCCTGTAATTGATTTAATATAATATATACATTAGTCACCTTTTATATTTTTGTGAAAATTTCAACATTGTTGATTTGCCTTCAATCATCCGCTTCAGTTCCGCGACGCTTGTATTCTCTTTTGCATCTGTGAAAATTGTGGTTTTATGTCTTCGAATCATAAGGAACACATCCTGGTGAGAGCAAGAAAGTGTTTTATTAACAATTATTTGTAATCATTATTTTGGTCAAAGTTCATTTCGTTGCGGGCGCACCATAGAGTGGCTGCGTTAACAGTGACGACAACGTCGACGTTAAGCTTTAGGCGGCGACATTGACAGTAGCAGCAGCTGATTTCACAGCACTGTTGTTGTTATGCTATTACTCTTTCAGTCGCCGCTGTTGCTGGTTTCGACGCTGCGGCCAACTCTTAATCCTTACCACCAAAATCACAGTAGTAACAGCGCATTACTTACCATTTCGAGCAATTTATTCTTTTTACCGCAGGTGTAAAATATATCAATTTGTTGGTTGATTAAATTTCGTACGCTACCAAGCGGTTCGACCTTGTCTTGTCTGTTTCAACACCGATAAATGCTTCAACGTCTACGCGGCGGCACTTCACACTGCACGTATTCAACTATACCACACAGTTCGCACTCAGGGTCACTTCCACAGGCAAACAATTCAGTAATTAACTGCACGCTTATATGCCGAAATCCTGCACGGATCTTAATTTCGTTTGCACGTCAGCTAAAACCGCTTACTTTTGCATTGAACGCTTAGCGCTCGCAATGAAGAATAAATAATATCACGCTGCGGTTTGGATGAGTATAAAAAATATAAAGAACTTCTTTTTGGTCTTCTTCTTCACTTTCTGATCTTTTATTTTTTTCTTAAAAGCCGAAAAACTCACAAAATCTAAACGTCAATCACAGCACTGACAAGCATTGCGCAAATGAGCATGTTCACGAAACGGACAATGATGAATGTCAGCGAAAGGAAGTAACGAAAATGCTAAACCAAAATTGTGCATTTTATCCCGTGCGGTGTGTTCAGTGGGAAAAATATTTGCTTGTGGAACTTAGTTACAAATTCATAAAGGAAGTGTAGAAAATGAATTACCGTTTCCAAACGGAATCGTAGTAATTGCTTTGATTTTTAAGCTGTGTAAAATATTAATAAGAAACTGTCTATTAGATTTGACAATAAGTATGATTGTAGTATATTATGCAATAATCTATGGACTTTTTAGTTTGTTTCTTGATTTACAAAATTTGGGCGGTACACTCATACATATATTCATGTAGTAGTTGCGAATTTTCGCGGAAGCTTCTAGTGCTCGTTTATACTGTGGTTAACAATCTTTAATTATTTGTTTATTTCAATAATTCACAAAGTAAGATTGATAGCTAATTGTACTTTAAAAGTAAGTTCGTCTAATGCTCCAGAATGCAAAACATTATGACTGCAACTTGCTGTAAATGGCACCCTCAACTCTAGCCAGATTTTGTTGCAACCTTAGTTCTAAATTATAGAAGAGATGATATGACTAGTTATGTAAAAAAATATTCAATTCGAACCTTAATCTGTACCGTAACCGAACATTTTATACTCTCGCAACTTGCAAGGGTCAAAGACCGGAAAATTACTTCAGATCTTGGCAAAATGTTATATTACAGGAAGTATTGATCCGATTCAACCCATTTTTGACACAAAAACATACTATTTTCGGGAGTTTCATTTATTTATTTTATTATTGTAAATTAATTTCCATTATATATCTTACACATTGACCGATAGTTTCGATAAAAACTCAACTAGAGGTACTGGTGTCCACATATTCAGTACCTAGGGGCTTAAACAGTTTTGGTTCGATTTTTGGTCACAAGGTGGCATACTTACACGTATTATTCACGCAAAGTTTAACCCCATTTGCATAGTGGAAAGTGAAAGAATCAGATGGAATTTAAAATGGTGTTATATGATAAATAAGCGTGCTTGTAATCCGATTTCGCCAATTTTCGCACTATAATATAGAAATATGAAAATAACATTATGCACTGAATTTGGTTGAAATCGGTTAAGCAGATCCCAAGATATGGGGTTTCACCTAAAAGTGGGCGGTGCCACGCCCACTGTCTAATTTTGAACACGGTTCCTATAAAATCATCTCATACCATCCCAGAGATAAAATTTAATGTCTCTGGCGTGTTTAGTGCTTGATTTATCGCGCTTTTAGTAGTTTTACAGTACCGTTATATGGGGAGTGGGCGGAGTTGCCACCCGATTTCAACTATTTTCACACTATAGGTAGAGGTTCTAAAAACATTTGCTTTTAGTAAATTTTGTTATTATAGCATTAGCGGTTTAGGAGATATGCACATTAAACCTATTAAGGGCGGGAAATTTTAATTTTGTTATTATAGCATTAGCGGTTTAGGAGATATGCACATTAAACCTATTAAGGGCGGGAAATTTTAACTGCAGATGCCCCTCCCTAATGTGATTCTGTGTACCAAATAACAGTCTTGTGTCTTATTGCGGAGCTTAGTTATGGCAATTTATTTGTTTTTGATTAATGGCATTTTGTGGGCGTGGCAGTGGTCCGATTACGCCCATCTGCAATACCAACCGCCTCAATCGGTACCAAGAAACATATCTACCAAGTTTCATAAAGATATTTCAATTTTTACTCAAGTTACAGCTTGCATAGACGGACGGATGGACAGACAGTCACCCGGATTTCAACTCGTCTCTTCATCCTGATCATTTATATATTATACAATATATTACCCTATATCTAACATCTAAGACTAGGTGATGATGAAAGAACCGTTAGGTGAACATAACTATTATATTTTGTAGCAACAGGTTGCAAGAGTATAAAAATAGTTGAGATCGTATACAATGTACACATTTGTTATATGTTACTTGAAGTGAAATTCTTGAAAATTCCTTAATATAGTGTTGAATAACATAAATTCTAACCGAATTATATAAGCTGAGAGGAATACATAAACGAGTATGGCCAAATAACGTATAATTTATCTTTCATCCAAATCCTGTACTTTGGGGGTTTTATTAAAAAAGAAATACTAGTATACATAATTGTTAACGTGTTATTTGTTCAATTTCATTTACAAATGCATCTTATATTTCTTCCCTCTCACTCTAACTAAATATATTCCAGATTAAATTTTTATAGTAAATGCCGAAGACCCTATAATAGCCCTAATGATTCGGGTGACGAACTGGGTCGTTTTGCCATGGCGGTCTGTCCGTCTATCTGTCTGCATACACGCGAACTAAGCCCCCAGTTTTTGAGATATTGATCTTTTTCTCCTCAAGAAACTGTATTTTTATCAGACCTATCAAAGACAAGACTAATTTCTTTATAAAGGACATTTTTTCATTATTAAGTAACTTTAATTCGTCGTGGCTAGAAAGAAATAGCAAAACGTTTTCCGTTGAATGCAAAACGTTGACCGGTTCCGTTTTCAGATACTTATATATAGCTGCCATAAGAAATGCACCTGTGTAGGGTATTATAGCTTCGGTGCAGCCTAAGTTAAAATTTTTTTTTGTTATTAAATTACATATATGTGAATATATGTTTAACATACATACATATGTATAAGTTAACAATAGTGAACTAAATGAGTTTCTTGAATTGTCAAAATTGTAATCTATGCAGTCTGGATTTGGTCGCGCATGGATCAAATGAATTGCGTGACCGTCAACTGCCATTCGATTACTTGTAATCGTGGAAACGTCAGTTGTACTTCAATATAGTCAGCAAAAAGCATTGCAGTCAGCAAAAATTAGGAAAGCAACGTTAACGTCAGCAGCGATAATACTAGTAGTAAGTTATAAATAAGTGCAATATTATTTTAATAAACAGTTTTAGAACGGAACTCAATTAGTATCATTTAAAGTAACAGTTCGTGGTTAGACGACAACACCGTCGCTACCATTTATATCGAACAGTAGAATTTAAAAATAACTTATACAAATACATATTTTGTTGAATGGCATATATTTACATAAGCACCTATTAATTTTTATAAAATTCGTATTTGCGTATACAAATAGATTTTTAGTTTTTACATGTGAAATTACCCCTAACAAATTACCCAAAAAAAGCAGATTGGATCGAAGTCCAAGGGCATTCTGCTCCCCGTGGTACCAGAGTTGAGTCTCCGGGAAGACTGTGTAGCCGAAGCTACTGTCTCAAATGTCTTTTTATTTGGAATCTCATTTAAAGCCTATAATATCAGTTCAAGCTGAGTATTATAGCACTATTTCTGACATAACTATGCTGATATTTCTAGGCAAGGTATAATAACAGCCATAGTGCATTTGGCTTTTAGTCAGCTCTTACGACAGGCATGCCTTACCGCGGGCAAATTCTTACCCCTGCCCGCAGGGGGTCATTACCTGTACAGTATTTTGGTGGGAGTTGACGAAACTCGTTACATTTATTTGCTTTTGTGTTATTAATTTTTTTACGTGAAAATAGCCAAGTTAAGCCGCTGTTTCGCTCTTTTTTGTTTAGTCAGAGCGTTAGCCAAACTTATCGGGGAGAGCGCCCTGTCACCCCAGCAAATTCTAAGTAACAGTGATAAGACCCTCTTTTGAATTCTTTTAATCAATTTAAGTAGTATCCCAGTATAAAATGAAAGTGTTTAATAACTCTTATACCATTTAAAACATTGTCGCATATTTAAGCAATTGAATATCAATGGTGATGACAAAAAAGAGTTTCAGAAAGATAACTAGTGAAAGTGGCATAAAAAGGCGAAGGTATTGGTCGTATGATAGCAATATATCGCATGTTTACTTTTTAAAAAATTCAAAACAAAATATACAAAAATATTTAGCACCCTGTTTTGCACAACGGAATCCATTTTAAAAGACTTATATCATTGCAATGTATGTTCAAAAATATGTTTTTTACTGTTATGTCGTCACAATATTTTCTTATTGGGCACTTTTTGCCTTCTTGCGGGGTTATTTGGAGTACATCAACACACATGCTCATATGTAAAAAGCTGTTAAGAAATCTTATAAGAACGTCCTGTTAAAAAGCATGTACATTTTTTGGCAAAACAAAATTGAAGAATTTACGACTCTGCAAAAGACATAAAATATTAATGTGATATTTGGATAGAAAAGGGTTCAAAGGCCATTGTGGCATGCATAGATTTAGCTAATTGAATTTTATTCAGGAATAAGGAAGAGTGGAGTTCAGTCGTAAGTGAACTCAAAAAAGCGGATATACTTTACAGTAAACAATATTTTAATTTAAATATGAAAAAAAAACCAAAGCTGAACCGTAGCTAAAATATCCTTCACAGGTGTAATTATTTTAGCAACTTCCCTTTGCATCCAATGGAAAACGTTTTGCTACTTCTTCCTAGTCACGTTGTTTGATATTAACAACCTTCAAATCGAAAAAATATTAGAGGGATGAAGATCTTTATCTGGATTTTTATCGGTCCATTTGTATGGCAGCTATATGCTATAGTGGTCCAATGTGAACAGTTTGCTTGGATATTGTAGCGTTGCCTTGGAGAATAATCCTTGCTAAATTTTGTGAAATTAACTTGTCAACTAAAAAAGTTTTCCATATCAGACATTGGTTTTGATCGGCCAGTTTGTATGGCAGTTATATGCCATAGTTGTCTGATATCGGCTGTTCAACGATTAAGAATCTTCTAGGGAAGAAAAGGACGTGTACAAAATTTCATATCGATGTCTCAAAAACTAAGCGACTAGTTCGTGTATATACAGAGCGATATACAGACGAGCATGGCTAAATAAACTCAGCTTATTACATGGAAAAATTATATATTTTATATACTTTATGGAGTCGTCGACCTTTCCTTCGGGGTGTTACAAACTTCTTGGCAAACTTAGTATACCTTCTTCAGTGTTATAATAACCATATGAATACATCGAAATATAATGAATATTGTGCTTGGAAATTTCTTTACCATTAAAAAGTTAACTGGCTGATATCTTGGATATATATTGTGATTCGTCGAACAATAAATTAAAACTTGATTTTCAAAAATCTCGAGTAAATATCGTAAAAAGAAACTTGTCCAGAAATAAACGCCCAATCCCATTTTTATCTATTGAGTATAAACTTCATATTACGTGCTATAGAGACTCGTAGTGTTTTTAAATATACTAAGGCTGACGGCTCATCAGTGCTTTTAAAACTAAAAAATATCTGTATCTTTTACTAACTT